AAAAAAAAAAAAAAAAACCCAAAAAACAACAACCCACCCCCCACAAAAATGTAGTAAAATCAATGATCATGGAAAAGAAGGTCTTTAATTAAACAGAAGAAAATGTCAAGTGAAATCTCAAATTACTGAGGATAAAACAGGTTCCAACTTCAGATATAGGCTAACATGTTCATGGAGACTCTGAAGGGAGGAAGCTTTGGAAAGCTGACATTGTTCCCTATTACAGATTCAAAAAAATGAATCAAGCAACTCAACTTCTCGGGCTGCACCCTCCACAAGCAAAGAGGATATAGAATTACACATTCACGTAAAATGGACTCAGCTAAGAAACCCCAGATGTTTCATTTTAAAAGCCTGCCTCTTCCTGTAAGCCTTTAACACTCATTAGCACATCAGGGTGTGGGTACTCTGAAAGTAAAGAGGTCAGAAAGAATCCAGTATGATGTGTACAGTGAAATTAAGAAGTAAAAGTTTACTCTTTAAATTTTTTTTTAAATCTGGTAGATATTTTCTTCTCTAAATGGAAAGCAAACCAGAATCACAGGGGAAAAGACCTATAGCAAAGTGAACACAGAAAGGAAATTCCTCCTGCTGTGTGAGAATGGCATTGTCTAGAGGGAAAAAATCTTTAAGGAATGTTAAAGTATAATAGCCAGAAACAGCTGGCCACAAAGGAAAATATGATTAGAGGCTATGTTCTACATTACTTCCTTAGGTCATATGTGGAAAGACCAATAAATTTGGCTACATCATCTATATAGTAAATGTGGATTACAGAAAATGTAATAAAATGAATAATTAACTATATAGAGACAATTTAAATAACTTAACTTCAAGCTGAGGATGCAGTGCTCCCTGGTAAGAGCCTTTGCATAGCATGTATGAGGACCTCAACTGGATCCGCACTACCACAAACAAGAAAAAAAAATCTACAATCCACGAATGCTGACACAGTCGTTGCTCCATCACCCAAAGAGCAGAGTGACTAATTCGGAATTACCTAAATAGCCAAAGGAATCGTGGTGCAAACTATTAAAAAGTTGGGACCGTTCCTTTTTTGAGAATGGATATCTGCAAACCTGGCTGCAGGATCATTCAGAGCATCTGCAGAGTCCGTGGGACAGTTTCAGAATTGAATGCAAAGCGGAAAAGCCTAAGAAATGCTGCTTGACTGATGCTTACAGTTTGGACCTTAAAGTCCCAAGGCTAATGTTTTGAAGATTTGATCCCCGATGCAACAGTGGGAGGTGATTGCTTAATGGACTATTTCTTTTTCTTTCTTTCTTTCTTTTTTTTTTGGTATCAGGGATCGAACTCAGGTCCTTGCGCTTGAGAGGCAGTCTCCAGAACCACTGCGCTAAATCCCCAGCCCTGTAATAGGCTATTGGGAGGTGGTGGAAACTCTAGTAGAGACTTGCTAGAGGAAGTCGGTCTCTGACAGCTTGCCCTTGTAGGGTGGTTTTGTCCCTAGCCCCTTCCTGTCTTTCACACTCTGCTTTCTGGGGACCGTGAGATGAGCAGTTTTGCTCCCCCACACTCCCCACCGTGACGCACTGCCTGACCGTAGGCCCAGAAACAGGAGCCACGCGAGCGTGGACGAAGACCCCTGAAACTGTGAGCTAAAGTATCTCTCTCTTCTCTACGTTGATTTTCTCAGGTATTTTGTGACAGAAAGGCAACACACTGACCCTTTAGACACTTTCTACTACTTTAAGGGGCACCAGCAGGGAAGCAAGGCTTAGGCAGGGCTTGGAAAACAGATGCATTGTTACTAATGAATTGTTGCTATTTTTTGCCCCTGTGGTTTTTCATCCTTCAAAACTCCGGGTTAGAATGATAATCATCAACTGTATAATAAACCAAAATGATACATTTTCAGGGTGCTGGGGATGTTACATTGTTGACAATGGTTTTCAAAATAAATGTTCAGAAATAGAGTGCAGTATTTATGACAGATTGAAATCAAGCTTTTGTTAATTTGTAAAATTTTTCTCAGTAGAACTCTAACTCTGGGCGCCGGGGATTTGACTCAGTGGTTCCACCGCCTGACACCAAGCGCAAGTTCAATCCCCGGTACCAAAAAAGAACTCTAACCCCAAGAAGTTTCATTTCCACTATGACAATACAGGGCCGGGATTTAATTCTGTGGTGCCACTGCCTGCCTTGCAAGCACAAGGTCCCGAGTTTCAACCCCGGTACAAAAAAAATGTAGAACCACTATGACAATATAGAAATAGATTAAATGTTTAAAAGGATTGCATGCAAATAAATAAAATCATGAGGAAGCTGGTGAAATGGGGATAATCATCAAAAAGAACAATGTATTATGGGAAGCCTATGCTCCCAAGCATATGCGGAAAAGCGGAATGGCATAAGATTTCAGTCATCCAAAAACACAGATTTATACAAACCGAGACTAGAAAGAAAAGGAAAACTGAAAACAGCTGTACAGTTATAACGGCAGGATTATGGTTGGATTTTTTTTTTCTCTCATTTCCCTTCAATTATTGTACAAAGTTTCATTACATTGGAAGAGAAAAAAAAGAAAAAAACCCTCCCTGCCACATACATTATTAGGCACAACAAAATATTTCTGGACCCAGATCATCTATAAGTAAAAATTTTTAAATTAATTAAAAGATGGTTGAAACCCGTTAGTGTTCTTTTAATACATGTGCTTCCGAAGCAAAAACTTTGCAATATTCTTTGATATTCACAAATTACTGGGTCTGAGCAGTCAATCTCTTCCTGAGATGGAAAATCATCAAAGACTGGAGCAGCCAAAAACACAGGTACTTACCACTGACTCTTTCAAAGAACCGATAGCAAATTTCCTTTTGCTGATGATCTTTATGGCTACTTTCCTACACGTTTTCCTCTCAAAGGCCAGTTTTACCTCTCCACAAGCACCACTAGAGAGAAAAACAAGACAGTGATCTTTTGGGATGTTTTTAATCATGACAATCCTCCATACTCAAGTCTGCCTTGGCTATGAGAAGTTAAAGACAGCTTTTATTGTTCCTATATCACAGGATGCAATGAAACCTTAACAATGCGGAATATCAAGGGTGTAAATCACCCAACCACACCGAGTGAGCTCCAAATGCCATTTCCGAGCTGATTAATGACTTATCCTGAGGACGTGGACACGCCAACTAGAACATTCTTCCCTGGTCAAAAATGAGTGTCCAAAACAAATAATAGTAAACAGAATCTGCACATGAATTATTTTCACTGGCACTTTTCTCTGTCCTTATTCTCTATCTTCAAAAGAACGCATAAGCTATTTGACATGAACTGTACCAGACATCAAATCTGAAAGTATTATACAAGTAACTTGCTTGCAGCAACCTCTCACAAAGATCTGGAGTTGATATTACAAGTGGAGGAGGAGGAACGCTACTCATCTCACCGCTGGGCAGCTTCAACCACTGGTGGTACAAAAGAATCTAATCACTCGTATCGGTCTTGTTACTAATAAATGAATCAAAAGCCACCCAGTGCGACAGTCATGCGTGTACCGCTCATGGTTCAAAGTGGAAGGCACACGTTAACCCTAAGTAAGCTAGGTTTTCCAGAGCTTGAATCAGCCCAACGCGAAGGTTACCACAGTATCGATCATCTACTTGGACCTGCCTGAAACAGACAGTTAGAACTATACTTTTTGAGGGAGTACAGTGGGGGACTTACCAACACATGTTTTTTATTGTGTTAAATATATACTATTTAAAACTTAATTTGAGATTTTTTTTTTTTTTTTGGTACCAGGGATCGAACTTGGGTCCTTGCACTTGTGAGGCAGGCGGTGAAAGCACTGAACTACATCCCTGCCTCTTACCTTTGTGATCTTTTACAACACAAGGCTTGTTTTGTTTTATTGGTTTGTGTGGGAAGAGGATTTTTTCCTTGTATTGTGTGTGTGTGTGTGTGTGTGTGTATGTGTGCATGCGTGCGCGTGAGTGTACACTTTGTTCTCGTGCTACTGCAGAACGAAGCCAAAGCTTCACCTGCACTACGCAAATACTCTGTCACTGAGGTACTTCCCAGACACCTCACCACCCTTTTTTCTGACAGGGTCTTGTAAAATTGCCCAGGCTGGACTCGAACTTGAAACTCTTCCACCTCAGCTTCCAGAGTAGTTGGGTACTCTCTTGCATGGCAAGCATAGTTCTTGTATGGCACCCGAATAGTTCATTCCTTTTCGTAGCTGGGTAATATTCCCTTGGGTAGAAATGTCACATTTTGTTTATTCCCTACCCCCTCAACCTGTTTTTGTACTGGTTATGGAACCCAGTGAGCACTGAGCTACATAACATCCCTTCTTACTTTATTTTGAGACAGGGTCTAGCTAAATTGACCAGGCTGGCCTTGAACTTGAAATCCTCCAGCCTCGGCTTCCCGAGTACCTGGGATTATGGCCATGTGCCAGCTCACCCAGCTATCCAGCATCTTTAGATGGGCATTTATTTCAGTTGCTTTCACCTCCTGTGAATTGTTTTGTTTTGTTTTGTTTTCGGTACCAGGGATCGAACTCGGACCCTTGCACTTGCGAGGCAGGCAGTGGAACCACTGAGCCAAATCCCCAGCCCTGTGAATTGCTTCTTAAATATGACACCAAAAGTACAAGCATAAAAAAGAAAATAGAAAAATAAGGCTTCATCATTATAAATAGAGCTGCTATGAACATTCTAATGCAAGTTTTTACCTGAACACCTATTTCTAATACAAGGTTATCTATACACATAAGAAGAGAATTTCCAGGTCATACAACTAATGCTGTGCTTAACTTTTAGATACCAAATTGTTTCCCATTCCTACCGGCAGTGAACAGGGCTTCCAACGTCTCCACGTCCTCACCAACACTTGTTCATTTTTGCCCCACTATTATGGCTATCCTAAGGAGACTGGTGTGAAGTAGTATCTCAAAGTGGTTTTCACATGTTTTTGTTTTTGTTTGTGTTGGGACCAGAGATCAAACTCAGGCCGTTGAGCTTGCAAGGAAGGCGGTGGCACCACTGAGCTAAATCCCCAGCCAGGTGTATCTTCTTTAGAGAAATGTCTATTTGAGCCTTTTGCTGCCTCCTCCTTTGAGACTACTTGTCTTTTCGCTGTTGATACCTAAGGGTTATTTCCTTCTACGCACTTTCTTCTTTCACTTTTCAAAAAAAAAAAAAAATCAAGAGAAGTCTGAGGAAGGTGCTCATTGGTGGCATACCTACCATGTGTGAGGCCCTGTCCCCAGCACCACAAAACAAAACCAAACAAAAGTACCACTGGATTTACAGGATATATCAATAGAAAGGCCTTTGCAAGGGGGAAGAAATGGGTAAAAGAAATTGTATAATATAAATACCAAAAAAAAAAAAAAAAAAAAAAAAAAAAAAAGTATACTGAATTCTTTTCCTAAGGAAATAGTTCTCAGAGTCTGACTGGGCAGCCCTTAGAAGACCCAAGACCACCCAGGCATCCACAGTCAGCACTAAGTTCAGAATATTACCAAGACCTTACTTGTCTTTTCCAATCTCGTTTTCTCCTGAGTCTACAGTGGAGTTTCCCAGAGACTCCAAAGCACGTGACATCACAACAGACTGAATGGAAAATCAAATTTCAGAATCTAGCCACCTTCTGAACACAGAGCCTGAGACCTCTTGGCCATCCTGACTTCAGCCACCTTCTAAATAATTCAGATGTCAAAAGGATTTCTGAGATCATGGATGAATAAATAATGGTATAAATCAGGACAAAAACTAACCAATAACAAATAAAGAGGAAGATAATGAAGTACAGCTTACATAAGAAAAAGAAACTTACCTTCCAAGAGTTTTTGATATGATGTATTCATCTCTTAATTGCTTGGGATAAACTGACTGATCATCTACAGTCAGATCAAAAAATACGAAAACTAAGAGAAAAAGGGCAGAAATGGGCTTATTAATTCATACAACTAGATAATTTATGCTAAAATTTAGTTATAGGGACTGTAAGGCAATTGTTTTTTTTGTTTGTTTGTTTGTGGGTTTTTTTGTATTTTTTGAGACAGGGTCTCACTATGTAGTTGAGACTGACCTGGAACTCACTATGTAGCCCAGGCTGGTCTCAAACTCACAGAAATCCTCCTGCCTCAGCCTCCCAAGTGCTGGGACGACAGGCGTGCACCATCGCGACTGGCAACAGTGTTTTAGATGTGATATTTGTTGTTTCTAGGAGTGGATGTTTAGAAAATACTGCCTGAAGGTGACAACAAACATCTGCACTTGCAGAGCATAGCTACATGATATTTAAGAAGGTAGACTGTTGAGAGAGTGGCTTGGTGTAGGCCGGCACTTGCCTAACACGTGCAAAGTCCAACCTTCAACCCCCAGCACCACTAAACTGAGTCTCTTACAGAAACACCTATAGCCTAAGACTTGGCATAGAAAAGGAGCTTCATAAATGTACACAGAAATTAATTAATAGAAAAAAGAAGAGCGTGAGATGAAGGAGAGGAGGAAGAGACAGGAGGGAGGAGGGAGAATTAATAACCTACAAGAACAGCACATGCATATGCCAGACCGGTGTGGTATAAACTGAACCAAGGAACCAATGCGATGACTCAAATGATAGCATACGGCTTTACGTAAAACCAGTAACCAATTAAGCCTAAGAAAATCTGTCTGGATAGAACTTTGTCATTTAAAAATTCAATGAAGGGGGCCAGGGATTTAGCTCAGCGGTTCCGCTGACTGCCTCACGAGCACAAGGTTCCGAGTTCAATCCCCAGTACAAAAAAAAAGCAATGATAACAGCAGAACTAAATTTTGCATGGTAATTTAATTTCACTCACTTAAACCACATTCTGTAAGGTCAAAGTCAATTTTTCTCTTTTACACAACAGGAGGAAAAAAAATCCAGTAAGTGTAAGATAACATTACCTTTATTTCTACATAGTGAAAGTGCAATTTCAGAATTGTTACTCAACGGATGACGTTTTCCTCTTCCTACAAGCTCTGTATTTACAAAGGTTCCATTCCCACTGTGATCTTCTATGTATGCGATGTAAGAGTCTTTAGGGCCCCTTTCCTAAAATACAGGACATTTTATTTCAAAGTTTTAACAGCAGAGATTTGTAGTGAAAAGATATCCGAGAAAAATGACTAGATTACCAGTTCTCCCAAGTATATGGACGTTGGTTACCTACCCTGAAAATCCGAAAGTGTTTCTTGCTATATGTCCTATATTTATCTGTTCTTTTTAGAAGTGGTTCATCAAAGCAATAGTCACAGCTTTTATCCCTCCCAAACCAGTAGTTGTCATTAACACACTCTGCAATACAAAACCATACCAGAGGGCTGTTGAATTTTCTCTATAAGACACATGTAAAAATTACTCCTAAGATCTACTTGTAGGAAAACAGGAGAAGGCAATCAAAATTACAGATTTAATTATCAACATTTTGTAAGCTTACAAATACGGGAGTGCTGAGAGCTTTAACTGCGGCAGAGTTCACGCCTAGCACACCTGAGACCTTGGGTTCGGTCCTTAGCACTAAAAACGGGTGGGAGACACAAATTTCACAATGGGTTTGAACAGTGATGGTTTACACAGAACCGTGAAACACAAGCAGCCATTAAAACTTCTCAAATAACTTTTAATGACTCGGAAAGTACTTCCAATGGAGGAGTTTCCCGTTTATTACTTTCCTCAGGCTCCCATCGTACTCGGTATGAAATCTACAGATGCTCAGGGTCTTGCGCTCTCTCCGTTCCAATGTCATCTGGAGCCCTGCCCCTTGCTCATACACCAGTCCCTCTGGCCTCCTTTCATTCCCCACGTATGCTAAGCAAAATCAGCTCTGTGGCCTCTCCACTTCCCCATTCCTAACTACCCGAAAGGCTCCTTTCCTCTTGTCTTTGGTATCTAGACTCAAATTTATCACCCCTACTCAGATTTCTGTATAAGCAGACCCCCACCTGTTATAATGATATATCCTGCTTTATTTCCCATGTATGGGTCACAATCGGAAGTTATACTGACCATTTATATACTGTTTCCCCAACAGAACATAAAATCCAGGAGGGCAACCATGGGTCTCTTGTTTAAGAGCATAGCTCCAGGGCCAGGGATTTAATTTACCTCAGTGGTTCCACCGCCTGCCTCGCATGCAGAAGGTCCCAAGTTCGAGCCCCAGTACCAAAAAAACAAAACAAAACAAAAAAAAGGATAGCTCCAGCCAGGCATGGTGGTAGACCCTTGTAATCCTAGCACTCTGGGAAGCTGAGGCAGGAAGCTCACAAGTTCGAGCCCAGCGTGAATGACTTAGCAAGACCCTGTCTCAAAATTTAAAAATATAAAAGGGCTGGGAATATAGCTTACTGTGAATGCTCTAGGTTCAATATTGAGGAAAAAAAAAAAGTACAGCTTTAGCATGACTAACACATATCAGGGGAAATTAAATGTACCTTGAACTGGATAAAGATGTGGATTTTTTTTTTAATGGAGTACCATACAGCCACAAAGAGAAACTAGAGATATTTATAGCTAAATGGTGTACACTGAGGCCATATTCTCAAGTGAAATAAATAGGACACACATATGTAAATACCAAATAGTTTCTCTGGTGTGAGAAACTGAAAATTTAAACAAGTATCAAAATGTATAACAGATAATGTGAAACAGGAAGAAAAGGTCCAATTCGTGCACACTTTATACAATTATCTAGGGAGAACAATTTGCCAAAATCTATCTATCCAAAGTACAAAGGTAGTCACATCACACCCCAAAAGATGCCTATAAAAAAAGAGGTCTAGGGATGGGGATATAGCCCTGAGGTAGAGTGTACAAAGAGATAAGTTTGATCCCCAGCACCAAAAGAACCTCTCATATGGCTCAGCAATTCTATTTCCAGGTATAAACCCAAAAGAACTAAACCCAGGAATTCAAATCACTTTTCCCAATGTTCACACCAGTGCTACATACAATGCCCAACTGTGGATGAATGCAGAAACAAATTATGAGATTCACTGTAAAACAGAATATTATTCGGACGTTATAAAAATGTATGAAATACTAACATATCATACAGCATGGGACCCTTCCGAACATCATGCTAAGTGAAAGTTACAAGACCCAAAAAGGTCACACACTGTATGACACTATCTAAATGAAATGCGGGCCAGGGACTTGGCTCAGTGGTTCCGCTGCCTGCCTCGCCAGCGCAAGGTCCCCGGTACAAGACAAAGACAAAGACAAAGACAAAGACAAGAGATCTAAGCTTGGTGCAGTGGTACACAGCCATAGTCCCTGCTACTTGGGTGGGTAAGGCCAGAGGATCACCTAAGCCCGACTCTGGGCAACAAAATGATCTCCCACTAGAAAGAGGGAGTGAAGGAGAAGAGGGAGGAGGAAAAGAGGGGGAGAGCGAGAGGAAGGGAGAGAAAGAAACAAAAATGCAGAGCAGAAGAAAAACAGAAAAGAGAGTATCTTTAATTCATTTCGGAATGGTGGAAATGTGTTGAACTACATAGACAGACAAATGAACAACACTGTGACTACTAAATGCCATGACGTACCATTCATTTTTTTTTCCATTAAGTTGACTAGTACATTTTAGGTATACAATATAAAGACACTAATCATCGGAGATTTGTACTTTGAGTCCAGACTGAGCAAATTAGTAATTGAACAAGACTTGTCTCAAAAAAAATAAAAATAAACACAAAAAATGGATGGGGATATAGGTCAGTGTGAAGGCCCTGGACTCAATCAAGAAGAAGAAGAAGAAAGAAACCAGTTGGGAAAAGGAAGGACATGGAGAATTGAAGAGGAAAGCCCAGGGATGGTGGACGGAATAAAAGGAAGGGCTGGCTTTCACCTCGGCTCACAAGGCAAACCCTTGGGCAGATGTGTACATGGAAGCAGGACAGAACAGAAAAATTAAAGATATGTCACGAGGAGACCAAGGAACACCATAACTAAAAATTGTTTAAAGAAGATTGTAATTTCTGGGGCACAAAAAGACAGTCCAGAGGCCGGGGCTTTAGCTCAGTGGTGCCACGCCTGCCTCACAAGCACAAGGTCCCAAGTTCGATCCCCAATACCAAACAAACAACAAAAAAAGACAATCCAATTAAGAAATGACACAAAAGGGGAGATGGAGTTCAGTGGCAAAGCGCTTACCTAGCAGGCACAAAGCCCTAGGTTTAATCACCAGCATGTACACACACACACACACACACACACACAAACACACTCTCTCTCATTTCCTTTTGAGGCAGGAGAATCGCTATGATTTCAAGGCCAGCCTGAACCAAGATCAAGACTCTGTCTCAAAAAGCCAAAAACAGTTTCCTCTTGCTGAGCATGACTGTGCATACAATCTCAGCCCTGGCAAGAGGATCATGAGATCAAGACCATTCTGAGCTGTGTAATGATAGCGCTTCAGGACAAAACAAAAGAATATGGTATAGCCACTATAGAAAATAGTTTGCCAGTTCCTTACAAAGTTAAACATAAAGCTGGGTGTGATGGCACCACCTGCAATCCCAGCATTCTAGGACAGAGGCCCCATCCAGGACCAGGGCCACACAGGAGGAGGTGGATGGCAGGCGGGTGAAGCTTCACCCGGACTTACTGCCACTCCCCACCGCTCACATAACCACGGGTGCTCTACTCCCTGTCAGATCAGTGGCACAATTAGATTCTCCTAGGAACCTTAAATCCACGGGTAAACTGCACAATCTAGACTTTGCGGTCCTTATGAAACTCTTAAACCTGATGATCTAAGGTGGAACCAAGGCTGCGATGCTAGCCCCGGGGAGTGGCTGCAAATACAGATTGACACTAGCCGAGAGGTTTGACTGCCCAGAGACCATAATAATCACTTGCGGATTCATACCAAAACGCTGTCAGAAGTAGCAAGTGAAAAGCTGCATCTGGTGGCAGGCTCTAGAGTGGCCGGTGAGTTGATGGACTTCAATTATACATCTACATCTGACAGCAGGCTTTAAGACAAAATATGACACATTTTAGTCCACCTGTGGCCCACCCTACATTTTATTTACCACTTCCATCCATGCCTCTTTCCTGCACTGTGCACTTGTGTCAATCTTAGTTTCGGTAAGGTCACAAGATAACCCTAGCCAAAGTGAGTAAAAAAAAAACATCACTGGAGAGTTTCTTTGAAAGAGGGGAAGATCCAATGACGAGACAGCAAAAGGTGCTAAAACTGCCAACAAAAAGAAAATGTGCTGGGCGTGGTGGCACACACCTGGAATCCCAGCACTTGGGAGGCTGAGGCAGGAGGATTGCCATGAATTCAAGGCCAGCCCAGAGCAGATAGTGATTTCAAAACCAGACTAGACTACACAGCAAGACCCTGTCTCAAATAACCAAATCAAGAGCCAGGCATGGTAGCCCATGCCTATAATTCTAGCATTCCAGAGGTTGAGGCAGGAGGATCAGGGTGAATTCAAGGCCAGCCTGAGCTACATAGTGAGTTCAAGTCTAGCCTGAACTACATAATGAGACCCTGTCTCCAAAACAAAACAGGGGCCGGGCATTTAGCTTAAGGGTACTGCCACCTGCCTTGCAAGCACAAGGTCCTGAGTTTGATCCCTGGTACCAAAAAAAGCGGAACAAAAAACAAAACAAATCAACAACAACAAAAAGGTAAAAAATAGCTCTAAATGTTTACCTCTAAATTTAATGTTGCTATATTGTTGCTCTATTTCTTTTTACTATTTTTTCAAGTCATTAAAATTAAAATTGACATTTAAGTGAAATGGAAGGATAGCGAGAACATACAAAAGTAGCACATTAGTCACTCATTTCTTAATACTATTTTCTACATCAAGTTTTGTTTCGTTTTTGTTTTTCGAAGATAGGGTCCCATATATAGTCTAGATCAGCCTTGAGCTCGCTATGTAGCCCAGGCTGGCCTCAAACCTGCAATTCTCCTGCCTCAGCCTCCTGAGTGCTGGGATTACAGGCGTGCACCACAACACTCAAATCAAAGATTTTAACATATAAAGTCATTTTACTGTAAGAAGAAGGAAAAATCCTACTTCAAACATTCTCATGGCATGGCAAAGACTCTCTACTGGGACCAGGACATGTCAGGGAAGCCCAACACACTGGAATTACACTGTTGGCAATTTGGAGAAAAAAACGAGTAGCAAACAGAGTCCACGAATAACAGTCGCTATTCAGAACAACTCTGGGGCTCTCGTACAAAAATGTGCTATTTTACTTTTGAGACAGGACCTTGCTCTACGGTTCCGGCCTACCCTTGGGCTCATCTTGTAGCTCAGGCTGGCCTCAAAGTTGCAACAGTGCTCCGGCCTCAGCCTCCCAAGTGCTGGGATTATGGGAATGCACCACCATGCCCAGCCCACCATGCCCTTTTATCTTTCATTACCTTTAAACTCCACAATCATTCCGTGAGTGCCCTAAGCTCTTCAGCTTAGACAACCTTCTGCAACTTTTTCTAAACATGCATGATTCCGTATAACAAAAGAGCTTACCGAAATTGGAGAATCCTTCCTGAAGAGCCCACAGCCGAGCCCAAGGGGCAGGAACAGGTTCCTCGGGTTCTTGGTCCTCAGGAATAGAACAGAGTTCCTGAGTAGACACAGTCTCTAAGGAGCTCAGCGTCCCAGAGCTGGACTGAGAGGACTGGCTGGAGGTGGACACTGTGCCAGTGGAGGAGCTGGAAGTGCCTTGGGACTGCGACAAGGACCCGTGAGACTGTGAACCGATTCCGAGGGACTGGGAGAAACTGCCCTGGGACGGAGTGAGGCCACCTTGGGTTTGTAAACTCGTACCACTGCCGTGAGCCTGAGAAGAGGTGCCGCCGCCGTAGGACTGCTGACTGTCCGCATCTGACTCCCGAGACATCGTGACCTCAAAAGTAAATGTCCAATTATAAGGTAAGTTGTAAGGAACGAGACTTACTGAAGAGTTTCAAGTTCAAGAGTGAACAGGCACATTATCACGGCTAAAGAAAAAGAAAGAAAAGAAGGCGTAGTGGTACACACCTGTTATCCCAGCACTTGAGGAGCTGTGTCAGCAGGAGTTCGAGGCCATGAGTTCAAGGCCAGCCCAGGCTACATAGGGAGTTCAAAGCCAGAATGAACTACCTAGCAAGACCATCTCGAAAAACCAAAAAAAAAAAGAGATCCAAGATAAGCATGCCCTGCAAATCCTAACAGCCAAGCACGACAATGGCACGCTTATAATCCCAGCTACTGAGAAGGCTGACCCTGGAGGATTGAAAGTTTGAGGCCAATGTAGGCAATTTAGGGAGACCCTGTTTTCAAAATAAGAATTTTTTTAAAAAAGGGATAAGCTTGTAACTCAGTGGGACAGCATTGCCTAACATGTACAAGACACTTGGTTTAGTCCCAAACGTCTAAAAAGAAAAAAAAATCCTAACAGTCTACCTAAGGTTCTTCTGGGCTGAACTTTTCACAAGATCACTTTCAGTGGATCAGGTTTTTTGTCTGCCATAAACAACAGGAAAAAATACCAAAATAAAATTATCTGAAGGCTATAAGCAAGGAAACAGCAATGAAATTTCCGAGCATGGTATTATCCCCCTGTAATCCCAGCACTTGGGAAACTAAGGCAGAAGGATTGCCACAAATTCAACTGAGGCAGGACTGCCACAAGTTCAAGGCCAGCTTGTGCTACATAGTGAGCCCGAGGCCTGCCTGAACTACATAGGAAAACCCTGTCTCAAAAAGAAAACGAACCAAAAATAAAAGCAATGAAATTGATACTCAAAAAAAATCCATGCATACAGTTCTTTAAAGGAAACAAATTTATTAATGTAATCAACACTACACATAAATTTCATGCGTATTTCTGAAAAGGAAGGAAAAAGAAAAAAGAAAGTGTCCAGTCACCTGGGATAAAAGACGAGTAAAAACAATCTGCAAATGGCGGGTTCTGGCGCCTGCCTCCAAGTGCAAGGTCCCGAGTTCAATCCCCGCTACCCACCCACCAAAAAGGAAACTACATAGTAACTCCCTTTGCCGTGGGGTGGGGGTATTTGCACAAAATATCATTGCTACTCTTTCTAACCCTAGGCATTCTCTAGGAGAGTAGGAATCATGTTCATCTAGATCTTCCGACACCCAACTAAACCCACTTAAAGAGGCCAAACACAAAGATGGATCTAACAACTCCAAGCCCTCTACTAACTGGGAGATATTGGGGGGGGGTGAGTGCAGCAAAACTCCAGGATCCCAATCCTGAAGGATCTAAGCGGTTCCACGCAACCTTTTTTTCAAATAGCAAAACGTGAAGCCTGGCGTGGTGGCACACGCGGTGACTGAGACAAGAAAATCACCACTACGAGTTTGAGGCCAGCCTGAACTACCTAGTGCTAGCCTCGCTAAAATGAAACAAAGGTAGGAGAAAGGAAAGAAGGGAAAGGAAAAAAATATGAGAATAGGAAAACATGGAAACAAAATCTTTGTAAACAGGGAGGGGTGGAGGGGTTTAAGGGAGGGCAGGAAATGGGGAAAAATAAGAACTAAGATACATCAAGTAAAGGTACAGTTCCCAATGATGAACGTAAATGTACTGTATACCTATAAGTACCAGTACATTAAAAACTACTTATGATTTCAGCAATAAAAAATTAAATATAAAACACAAATCATAGACACTTGAGTCCCAAGGAAGACTGGCGCCCTCTTATTCTATGCCTGCCCCCCCATCTCACACTCTTATTTATGGGCACTAGCACAATATTCTAGGTCGGCTCTGTAGCGCCCAACAGCTAAAACTGGCTTCTCATTAGTATCTTAAGGATTGAATTTACAGAACGACCATAACTACCAGCATTTATATGATTATTTACAAAGTAACTTCACTCTGGTAGTTACTTTTGATCACAATTCTGTTCCTTCTGGTCCCGCATGCATCTGTAGGCCTGCTTCTTCGTTTAAGTACTACAAAGTGGATTTCACCTCGAAGATCATCTACAAAGGAGTCGCCCACGCACTCTCCAGCTCAAAAATCCAGTCAAAGCGGAAGCTAAAGAGAGTACACTTGCATAAAACCTAACGATGGGAGTCGAACCTTCAAGCACCCAAAGGAAGTTTCCCACTATGACTCACCGCGTGAGCCCACCAGGAGCAGCAAGCTCAACGCAGCCGCAGGCAGCCCAGTGGCGCTAAACCTGCACATACAAACTCCACCCTCAACCAATCAAAACGTCCCCTAGCACCGCCGGACCAATGAGAAGCAACGTATGTGGCCGGCACGCGAGACACCAATGCTTGCTGGGAGTAGTAGTTCAGAAGGCAGGAACGGCGCTCGGCCGCCACGCTTCCCCCCGTGACCCCGCCCTCTTAGCGCTCCCTAGCCAATCAGCCTCTGTAGTCCGGTCAGCGCTCTTCCCCAGAAGGTGACCGCGGCGAGATAGGCTGCGGCCTAGATGTGGGGCTGGAGGGCCGGGGCCTTGCTTCGGGGATGGGGGCGACGGCTGGTGGGGGCCCCCGGAAGGAGACTGCTAAGCTGCCACGCTGCCTCGCAGGCAGGAAACAGTGCGCCGCGGTGTTGGAAGTGCGGCAGCCCACGGGGCCCTGCGCGGGGGGACGGACTCTTCTGTCCGCAGTGCAGCGCGCTGCAACCACCTGACCCCACTCGAGACTACTTCAGCCTCCTGGATTGGTACGCGCGGCCGCTCCGGGAGTGTGGTCGGGACGGGAGCGACGTCGGGGGCTGGCCTGCGTGAGGGGAGGGCAGAGCGGCTGGGCTGGGCTGGGCTGGGCGAAT